GTATGTGAGGAGATGGCAGCCGAGTGGCAAAGGAGATTAACAGTGATCACAGCAATGCTGTTGGCTTCAGAGAGTGAGAGCGAGCGGCGGAACCTCCCTCTGTTCACTGATTCATCTCTACTTTAGCCACAGGCAGACGGAGCACAGGAATGAGTACAGAGGGATGAGAAAGCTTTACTTCTCTGTCTTCTGCTTATTGATCAAAGGATGTGAAAAAAACACTTTAAAAAAAAGATACAGCAAAAAGCTGGAAACTTTTTCTTGAAACTTTCTCCTCCTGCACCGTATTCTTAATATAATCTGCCCGGCCTGTACTCTTCCTTGTTTCCACTTTGTGTCGCAACACAGCTTTCATCTGCATCCATTTTGACCTGTCTGCGTCTCAGACATTACATTGCATTTATTTGGCAGATGCTTTTGTCCAAAGTAACGTACAATAAATGCATTCAATTCATTGTCAGTGCATCTTTTCCAAATAAACAACTAAAACAGTTGAGAGCATGGGGTGTTCGAAGTTTGAAAGTTTTCAGCCTGTGGTGGAGGATGGGTAAAGCCTTGCTATGTAATAGTTAATTCCTTTTGCATTTCCTTGAACTTTAGTAATAGTTAATAGCAGCTCTCTGTTGTTTTTGTGTGGGAGCAACTCACAGTCTTTTCACAATCAGCACCAGCTTCATCCCTTAAATGTATATGTAAGTTCCGTTGCTGATAAGCTGTGGTGCTTGTTCGTACACATTTAACTTTGAGGTGAAATGGTTCTTTTCAACAACGTAATATTACTGTTTTTGTCTCCTCTGTACACACACCATCCCTTACATGTCTGACCATCCTGGAAGAGGCATCCCTAATCTGGTGCTCTTCCTTAAACCCCATAAAAGGGTTTATTTTAGGGTTTTTCTTATCCAGCATTTCAAGGGGTCTAAGGATGGAGGGTGCTGTATGATGTACAGATTGTAAAGCCCTTTGATGGTGAATTGTGATTTTGGGCTATATGAATAAAAGTGCCTTGATTTGACTTGAGTTGATTCAAGTTCAAATCTTGTTTTGGATCCTTTTTGGTCAATGTTTAACTAAAAGTTCTTTCTGATTTAAATTCAAAAGGACTTCCATTTCAGTGGTGTCAAGTCTTGACTCTCTTTTATATCAAGATGAAAGGATGAAGTCTGGAAATTGAGACCTTCAGGTCAGATCAAGTAGTTACATCTTGGACTTGAACACTGCATAAAATCTTCATCCTAACTCTTCTATTATGTCTATTATTTAGTATTATTATCTTTAAAATGAACAAAATCTGCTAGTGGGGTAAAACTATTTCACCTATTTCCAAGAAACTATCTCAAATCAAGGGTCCTTTTCTTGATGCTTGTGCAGCAATTTGTCTTATTTGCTAGTCTTGTTTAGAGATAGTAAGACTCATTTTTAGAAAATTCAAGAAAAGGTTATTACATTTAAATTAATTATGTCGACCCAAGAATAAAAAATAACCTCAAAGAAGAATCTCAAAGACAAATTGGTGCTACTGCTGCTGATCTGATAACATGTAATTCGATTACATGTAACCTGTAATAGACTATTTCTTCCTCTGCAGCGCTTCTGAAATTCCAAGACACAGCCAACCCTCTGTACTCCAGAGCAGACTTTTAATCTCTCAGCCTGTGTGCTTTGATTTCATTGACGTGATAGATGCTGCGGAACAGTTTCAGCTGCTGTATCTCTTTAGCCACTTCACACGCCTGACGCTGTTTCCTCATCCCAACAAAAAGTCACAGTGAAGCCAAATCCTCAAACTCGCCTGCACGGGTTTTTATTTCCCCATGTAAATGTTTATGTCTGCACGATATGAGTCAGCATGCGTCTGTGCAGTTGTGTGTGCCTGTGTGTGTGTGTGTGTGTGTGTGTGTGTGATTTTATGCGTGTTTGTATCGTGCTCTAACAGGCGAGACAGCAGCGGCGTACTGGGTGTCTGATTGGAGTCCGGTTGCGAGGAGTGGCGAGCTGTGTGAACTCTGGTGCTCTCTGACTGCCGCATTTTCATGGAAAGCATCTCTTTGGGGGCCTGCGGGTTTTCAATACGCTCATTTACACATCAAAACAGCACAGGAAAGGGATAGTGCTCAAGGGGGGTGAAGGCCTGCAGAAGGGAGGGAGGGCAGGGTAATGAAGGATGCTTTATTTTCTCTTTTTCCCCCTCAGGGGTGGGCAGGGGTTTAAGTCTATGAGGGAGGCACATTGATGCCATAATGATCGCCTTTAATCAGACCCATGACCAGATGGAGGGATTTCTCCTCAGCAGACAAAAACATGGTGTCAGCAGCTGAAAGAAGGATAACCACTGAGGTGTTTCTATGTCTTTTTAATAAAAAAACAAATTGTACAAATCCTGGGTAAACAGGCCTGTTCTCTGTTGCTTTAAGATCAATAAATACACTGTTGAGCTCACAGTCTACACAATGTAATATTCCTGAGAAAGCTATAATGAAAAGTATTGCCTTTTCTGGGAGTAGTCTCACTTTTGGCCCAGACAAACTTGGTGCTCAGTGCGACTGACACTATTTAACCTCCTGAGCCAGAAGAGAAGAAAAACAGTGTGGAGACTCAGCCAAACTAAATTTTTTTGAGTGAGGCCGAGCTTACTTACTCCTGAAATTGGACATTACTGGAAGATGGGGTGGGGTCTTCTTCAGAACAAGCTTGGTGTTGATTGGCTGCCGCTGCTCCAGCACTGCAGACCTCAGGTGTGTGTGTGTTTGTTTGTGTGTGTGTGTGTGATGGGGAAGGTGTTCCCGGCAGCCACATCTCTGGCGCCAAAGGAACCACAGCTCAAACAAACTCTTGTTTTTGGAGTGAGCCTTTCTTTTTTTGCCTCTATCTGAAGCTCTGTGCTGTGTGATTCCTTTCCTCTGCAAGAGAGAGAAGCTAAAAATAGCTGTCAGTGACCTGGAAATGCAGCGATAGACTTCATATTTGTGGAAAAAGAAACAGTAAAGACATCCTGTTGCTGCTGTAAAAAGTCGTTTCTGTTGACCTTCGCCATTTTTAAAAACCTGTCTTAATCATATTCAGCAATACATGGAAAAATAAATAACAAAGAAATGCAGAAAGGGCAAGAAAATGAAAAAAAAAGAAATGCTGAGAAGGGGAAAAGACATTTAAACAAAGCCCTGCAGCAGAAGACAAACTTGCCCTCTGTGCTACCCCCATGTCCTTAACCCTCTGCAGCTACCTCCTTCCTATCTAATCAATGCAGCTCAGTGCAGGTGGGACAAGCTGGTTTGTGTCTCACACAGCAAGTGTTTGGCCTCTCTGGGTCATGTCACTGGAGTGCAAACTGGGGAGGAAGCACGCGCCCCCCGTTCAGGCGCCCATGAACTGGAACATGTGGCTGAAACACCACCAGCCGAGTCTCTGGCTGCAAGCGTGCTCCAAGCAAAACAGCCCTATTTAACAGTTAAATGTGATCCGCACAGTGTCAGAGTCCAGGACTCGCAGCGCTCGCCTGCCAAGCTGTGGACAACGTCTACAATGGCTGAGTAATGAAAACAAAACAAAAAAAGGGGAGGATGTTGGTAGTTAACCCACATCGTGTTCTGCAGGAGGAAGGAATAAGTAATTGAAGTTAACTCAGGCGTTGCACAGATCTACACAACGCTGCACTGACTGGAAGTGTGGTTAATTCACAACGGAGACATAATGCAGCTTTGATTTAGACCGGTGTGTGTGTTTAGTAAATGAACACCAACATGTGCATGGAACAAGCTGTCGTGCATGGGTCTTATTATAACTCTGACGGAATTGCAAATGGTGGAAAAATGAAAACAAAACAACTGTTAACCTCTGGAGATATAAGCGAGCACACGCCTGCTTCACACTGCCGAGGTTCCAGTAATGTAATGAAAACAAGCTCCTGGTCATCACATTTTTTTCCCATGCTATCACTCCCATGTGCTGCTGCTGCTGCTGGTGACACAGCACACAATTACACAGACATAATAATCAATTCCACTGCTGTCAAACACTGTAATTTCCACCGTGTTTTTGCTGCTAAATGACTTACTGTGTGTGGCTGCAATTTGCGTTGGCACTTAAATTGTTAAAGTCCCGTAATGTAAAAGCTATTTATTTTCACTTTTTTTATAGACCATCTGAGAACATGGTGGCTCTTGTGCATGATAAAATGGACTTTATTAGTGAAATGTTAGTTGCAAGATCCCAACTTAGGGTATATATTTAATGAAAAAAATGTTATGCAGTTTTTCTCTGCATCAGTCAGTGATTATTTATATCTGATGGCACAACGCTTCTTTCTCCAAATAAAAGGCCTTGCACTGAATCAAATTCAAACATTTAAACGTGGAAATTTGGATCTTTTGTATAGTGGAAATCACTCAATATCAGACACACGGCTTCCTCGAGCCACAAACCGCATAAAAACTTAAATATTAATTTATTAATCCATCTACTTCGTGAACAACCACAGTTCTGAGCCTGTGCTTAACTTAAATATGTCAGAGAAACCGTGCAATGAGGCTAAAATCCACTTCAGATTTGTCCTCTCAGATCAAAGTGCCGAGTGTTTGCACGGGGATCAAATGGAGCAGCGAGAGGGCCACAACAGTGATTCTGTGGAAGGATTAAAACAGCCATTAATTAAATATATTCCTCCACAGACTGCTCCTGCATTTTTAAGACGATGATGCAAACATTAATACTTTTCCACGGATTATCACTCTATTCATCAGTGATTCTCTTTGAGGATTATTGTCGGGGACGCCTCTGGGATGTGTAGCATGCACTTGGAAGACAACACATTTGGCGGGGAGCCCCGCTGTAAAAGAAATTCCCAGGAGAAGAATGGCAGGAAGATCAGGAAAACCAGACTGAAATGAGCAATCATTTGTGACTATTGAATTGGGAGCTCTTCAAGACTTTTAAAATGGTTAAATATTCATTATAAGCTACTGTGAGATAGTTAGATGACAACAATAACACCAGGCAGCGAAGACGTTTAACATGAATTCCACAAATTTATTACCCTTTTAAAGGCCAGAACCAGGGTTCTTATAAAAGGCACTTCATTTCCCTTTACCTTTAATAAATGCATCTAAACAACAAATCTGATAAGAGCCGAGGTGAACTTTAAATTAAATATATTTACAATAAATAAAACATTTATACAGATTTATACAGTGAATCATGCCACATTCAGGAGGAGAATATTTCCCAAGATGCCTCCCATGACAGCCTTGCTTTAAAACACTGGGCATGTCTACTGCACTATGAAACAGAAAAATATGGGTAACAATACTAAACATTTCCCTTTATGTATTGAATACTGTTTATAGGTAGTTTCTCATAGTGACGCCAGTACCTGTGTGTCCCTTGGCAGCAGCAGAGCAGTAACTGACAGTTCAATTCAACCACTCATCTTCTTACAAAGTCTTAGCAGCTCCTTACTCAGGGCATGTGTGTGTAAATGTGTGTGTTTTTGAGTGTACGTGGTTGCATTTTGGTGTGTGTGTGTGTGTGTGTGTGTGTGTGTGTGTCACTCTCAGACATGTGTGGGGTTGTCTGAGTGCAGGTCAGTCTTGGCCATGTGCAGAACCACGGCAGGAGATTTGTAGTGGCAGTGTGTGCTGCCACAGCTGACACCACTGCAGGGTTTCCTGCTTCTAGTCCTGTCTGCCAGCTTTCTGCTGCACAGGCCCTGCCAGGTCTGCAGGGTCTTAGAGCTCCACACCCACACACCGCTGGTGATGCCGACCACCAGCGACATGAAGATCTTCAGCATGAACACAGCCACGGTGGGCACAGACGTCTGCAGCGAGCAGTCGCTGCTGAGGCCGCACTTCATCTGCAGCCCTCTCAGCTTCCAGTAGTCCATGTTTAGCCTCTCGTAGAAGTAGCAGACGATGACGCAGGTGGCCGGCACCGTGTAGAGGATGGAGTAGATGCCGATTTTCACCATGAGCTTCTCCAGCTTCTCTGTGTTGGTGCCCTCTGTCTTCATCACTTTGCGGATGTGGAAGAGAGCCACGAAGCCTGTGAGGATGAAGGAGGTGCCGATGATCAGGTAGCAGGACAGAGGGATGAGGACGAAGCCGGTGAGCGCCCCAGAGTCCATGCTCCCCACGTAGCACAGCCCCGTCAGCTCATCTCCAGCCACTTTCCTCATGGTGAGGATGATGATGGTCTTCAGAGCGGGGATGCCCCAAGCCGCCATGTGGAAGTAGTTGCTGTGGGCTTCGATAGCCTCGTGGCCCCACTTCTTCCCTGCAGCGAGGAACCAGGTGAGGGTGAGGATGACCCACCAGATAGAAGAGGCCATGCCGAAGTAGTAGAGGATGAGGAAGACGATGGTGCAGCCCGTCGACTCCAGCCCTTCCTGGATGACGTAGAGCCCGCCTTGCTCCCGGTCACAGGCGATGTTCTCCGCCCCAGACACCGAGCGGATGATGAAGGCCACGGAGTAGACGTTGTAGCACATGGAGAGGAAGATGATGGGGCGCTCAGGGTACTGGAAGCGGTGAGGCTCCAGGAGGAAGGTCAGAACGGTAAAGGCAGTGGAGATGAAGCAGAGGATGGACCACACTGTCATCCAAATGAAGGCAAAGTCCTTGTCCTGCCTGGACCAGAAGACGTCTATAGCAGGGGAGCAGCGTGGTGCACACGACTGGCTCTTCTCCACAAACTGAAACTTGTCTGTGTTCTCACAGGAGCCCACGCTGCCCAGGGAGTTCCCGCCGCTGCTGTCCGACTGCCTGGGGCGAGGGGGCATTGGAAGCATGCCCTCGCCTTTCTTGCCCTCCGTCCTGGTTTCGTTCTCGGGGGCCTCCATGCACAGAGCGTTAGGGTCGTTTCTGGTGGGCAGCTTGGAGCAGTCGAGCGAGTCTGGCCAGGTGTAGCTGAACTTCTTCATGATGGGGGCACATCTCTCCCTGGCCTGCTCACACATTGGTCTGCAGGCGGGGATGGAGGTGGACACCTTGTCCGTGCACATGGGGGCGTAGAGGGAGCAGAGGAAGAAGCGGAGGTGCACATCGCAGCCATAAGCCACCAGAGGGGCAAACTCGTGCAGCTTGATGGCAGCCTCCTTCTGGTCGTCGTGGTCCATGAAGTTGGGCATCCGGGTCAGGTTGTAGCCGATCCCCTCGCACATGGGGATCACGATGGGCTCGCACTTAGCTGGTCTGCCTCGCTCCAGGTCGTAGGAGCCTATCTCAAAGCTGGAGCCAGAAATCACCAGCAGACACCACAAAAAAATCACCACCTTCAGCGGACAACCGTCCATGCTCATTGTTTTGGTCAAAAAAAACTTGTCTTTTAAAAATGATCATGAAAAAGTCTGAACACACGGGGATCGGTTACAGAGAGATCCCCGCTATTTCCCCATGGCGAAGGCACGTCCAAAATCTGCCTTCACGTTCCCGCTCCGTTAGAGAAAACACTCCAAAAAAACAGCCGTGTACAGAAAGTGGGTACGTGCTGATTTATTCAGTCTTGAATTAAAGCGATTAATCCCAGGGACAGTGGCGATAAAGGTCCGTAACTAAGACGTGACAGTCGGAAACTTCGACCAACAATGGAGGAAAATCATCAAAATCAAACACCGAGAGCTGAGCGTAAATCCTCAAACCGACCGTTAGTAGCCGTCGATGAAAAAGCAGATATCAAAGCGGCTGTTTGTCGCGGGTCCAAAAAGGCTGTTTAGCTGCGACTCCCTCAGTCTGTTTGTCTGTCTGTCGGCTGCTGTTGCTCTTCGTCCTCTGCTTTCAGGCTCGACACTGAAGTTTGAGTGCCGCTCAGTGGGACTCAAGGCAGGGGAGAGACGGAGAGGAGGAGGGGGGTGGACGCTCCGTGACGCTCACATTTCAACCGGCGGCACCACACAAGGAAAATTATCAGACAGATGCTGGAGGATGGTCAGATACCTCTGACTTTTCTACTCTGAATTGCATTCAGATCCTTTACTTGAGTTAAACAGCAACTGCCACTATGTAAAACACTCATTTGCAGGGAAAAGTATTCTATTCAAAATTTTAATTATTCTGAAAGCACTACAGAAGCAGCCTATTATTAACGAAATATACCTGAAGTAGCCTACTCTTTTCCAGTGGTGAAAGTGTAGCCTACACATTTGAGGTTTTTGCACTTTCTTTATGGGCTACTTGGGCCACGCTAACTGTATCTATGGTAAATGTTGCAACTTTTAACTTGTGGTTACTATATAGGTCTACAGATAACACTTCGAATGTTCTTCTACACGACCAAGTACAACAGTAAAATGCTACTTAGACTTTGATGCATCAGGATTGATAATTCAGTGATTTAATAACATGCACGTGATGAATCCTTTTACGAGATACTTTCAGTGCATTTAGAATGCAGGACTTCTTGTAATGAAGTATTTATTTTGCTACTTTTAGTTAAGTAACCACCACTGCTGTTGTTGCAGATGACCCTTGGCTTTATTGGATTATTGATACTCATGTACAGTTGTGGAAGAAGTCACATGTTTTGTAAAAGTAGAAATGTAAAAATACTCCAAATCACACTTGAACAGGGCCACTGGGCAAAACTGAGCTGTGAGCCCCTATACCTACTTCAGTAAAAGTATGTACAATAAGTATAATCAACAAAAAATGTTGGGTATTGGGTAATTTGTTATATTTTAATTTGCAAACTAACTAGTAACTGCAGTTGTTGGATAAATATAGTGGACCGAAAAGTATAAATTAGCATAAAATTTGAGTAAAACACCTCACAATTGTGCTTATTTTGTTGTTTGAGTAAATTTATACTGCTGAGGCATGATTATGTAAGCAGAATTTTAACTTACACTGAGTGGTTACGCTTATTTACTCACTACTTTTTAGTTACTGGTGGGTGACTATATTGTCAGTTATCAACAGAAAGAGTCACGTTAAGAACCACCAAATAGAACTGAAATTATTATTATCTTTATTAAGTAATTCCAAGAACTATAGAAGAAAATGAAAAAGGTGACGCAACAATTTCCCTTCTGGATCCACTTGAGCATGCTGTAAGTCAAACACTGAGTAGTTTATTTTTCTCCAGTATAGTAAAAAAGCCCGCTTCTCCTGTAAATTGATAGTCCCAGTGGCATTTTACTGTTGCTGACTCATAATAACTTTGTCATAATTTTCTGCTAATGATTTCATGCAGTCAAAACTTTACTGAGCCGTGCAGATCAGTTCTCTTCTGAGAAACAAAGCACTCCTGCAGCTGGTAAGGGTTTCACTGCCTTGCTTAAGGACAGTTCAGCACAGGCAGGTGCCTCATGGTGGACCAGCTGAAGGATGGTCTGTCTAAAAACACAAAGACACATGCACAATGAATCCATAAATAGGATGATTTGAATAGAAAAAGACAAAACAGTGCACAGAATCAGGCATAACATGCAACAAATAGATGCAGCAGTGATTGTGCCGCGCAGAGGACGATTGTTTCCATCTAGTGGCTGAATGGGGAGAGCCTGCAGCTCCACAGCTGTTGCACTGAGCATTTGATCTTTTCTCAAACAGGGGTGGAACTCAAGGATTTTGGCCTCACGCCCTGCAGGACTGAATTGACTGTCAACTGCATACTGTCTCTATTAGCTCCTTTGTTACAACTCTGCTGAAGGCAGTTTTACACTGGTCTGGTCCGGGAATGACCTGTTGTTTGTAACATTTAGATCAAAGCTGGCAACATATTGAATACGTTGAGAAGTAGTCATGATGCTGTAGCCTTTTGCACACAAACTAAAACACAGAAAAGTCTTTTTAAAGGTATATTTCAACATCTTGGGAAAAACACCAACTCTCTTTTTTGGCGAAAGTGAGATGAGAAGATCGATACCACTCTCGTGTGTATGCTAAAAATAAGGCTAGAACAACAGCCATTAACTTAGCTTTGCATAAAGATTGAGCAGTGAGCCTGACTATGTCCAAAGGTGACAAAATCAAACTACCATCACCTCTAAAGACTCACTAATTAACAAATGATATGTAAACTGTAGTGTAGGTTATGTCTTGGCTGTAAAACCACAAATTGTTTTTACACTTCAGTTTTAATACAGATTAGTTTGTACTCCCGAGCCGAACTTACTAAGTCCGAGCTTTAAAGTACAGAAGTCCGAACTTGGTGAACTCGGTATTGAGAAACAGCCATCATGTTTCCAGACTTTCTGCTAAGCTAAGCTATCGGCTGCTGACTCTAGCTTTATATTTAGTGTACAGATATGAGTGTAGTATCAATCGTTTCATCTAACCACTAGCAGGAAAGCATACAAGCATTTTTCGCTCAAATGGCAAACTGTTCCTTTATGACGACTGTATGCCCACAATATTTTGATCTTGTCCAATGAGGTGTAAAAATACTACCACAAACAATGCACTTTGTATTATCAGGCTATAAAATGAAAGGAAATCTTCTCTTCTTCTGCTTTCTAGATGACAAATTGAGCTAGATGAAGGCAGCGTGTGAGGCTTTATCAGATCTGGCCTCAGGTAGAGAGAGAGAAAAAAGCCTCCAACTGCAAATTAAGCCTGATCGAGCGGAGGAGGAAATACATTCCAGATTCCAAGATGATATCTCATTGTACGTCAGCGCTGAGGCTTTTGGTGAATCAAATAGAAATGCTTTGACTGAAGTTCCATTACTACTCAGCAGCCTCTCCACTCAAACGTTTTCAAGTTCACACTTCAAAGACAAGGGGTCATTGGAGAGGGCCTGGAGAAGCCCGAGTGTGCCCTTAGAAGGTCTCAGATTATTATCAGACAGATATCTTTCTACAAGGTGAGCAGCACATATCAGGGTGCATTAGCATCCAAGTGACAAAGCCTCTTAGGGTGGGAGCGCTGGTGGATCAAGGTTTGACCCTCAGTCTGTATCAGTGAGGGTTGAACTAAGAACGGTAACACTCATACAGAAAACTGATTTATGGTTTTGTTTGCCCAAATGTTTTGTGTAATTTAGGGAATAATTTGACATTTAGGGAAATGCAATTATTCACTTTCTTGCTGCTGGTTAGCTTAATTTAGCATATATGCTGAAAACGGGGAAAAGCTAGTCTGGCTCCAGCAAGGACTTAAGTTGTATTTTTTTTATACTTGTTTTTTTACGTATTCAACAGGTGAGCTGTAACATGTTAATAAGTGAGCTTCAGGATTTTGTTAAAGTTAGACAGAGCGAGTCTATCTGTTTCCCTCTTTTTAAGTTGATATGCTAAGCTAAGATAACCAGCTACTGTCCAGAGTGGTATCGATCTTCTCACCTCACTTCCAGCACCAGAGTGAATAACTGTATTTTCCAAACTGAAGAAATTGTTTTACAAATTGTGGGGTACAGCTAGCCTCTGTTTAATGGTCCAAAGGTAATAAAATCAGATTTCTTGAGGAAGCTTAAGAAGGCCAAATTCCCACGCCGAGTTCTTGTCAGCTTTTACAGAGGAGCAATAGAAAGCATCTTGACTGTATACATCACAAACACAGTGTGCACGGCCCAGGACCGGAGGGCTCTGCAACGGGCGATTAAAATTGCTCAAGATCATTGGTACCATCTCCCAAGCATCAGTGATATCGGTTAGGTGAGGTGCCTACGCGGAGCCCAAAGGATTCTGAAGGACAGTACCCACCCTGCCACAGCCTGTTCACCCTGCTGCCTTCTGGGAAGAGATATAGAAGTTTCTGCTGCCACACCAACAGACTGCAGAGCAGCTTTTTCCCCCAAGCTATCCTACTCTTAAACTCTAATTCATCCTCAGCACTGCTCCAATGATTATAGTTTATTTCTGTTTACCATTTTTCATAATTGATTCTTTATTAATGTATATTGTCTGCTATGTAGCAGAAGGGAGTTACAAAACTCAATTTCACTCTATAACTTGTTATATTGTGACAATAAACCTACCTACCTATATCCCCCGTTTGTTGTTGCTAAGCTAAACTAGCCTGGTGCTGGCTGTAGCTTCATATTTACTGTGCAGACCTTAAGAGTGGTATTGCTAATTTCATCTAACTCTTGGCAAAATAAGCATAATTTTCTAAATGTCAAACTATTTCTTTAATCCATTGTTATACCACTTGTGGCTTGATTTACAAATTAAAAATTTAGTTTGTGTGGCTTTTGTTCTGTGCTTATTAGTTATGGAGACACAAGGTCTGACCGCACCACTGCTCTGTGTCCCGGGTCCTACAATAGGATACCATTATGCTTTCTTTGCATGTTTTTATTTCACCTAATTGTGTTATTTCTTCTTGACCTGAACGGAGAATGGGAAAAGAGTTGGAATATGTGCAACTGAGTATTTTGATTTGGACATTCGCTGGCTTGCAGCTGATTTGTTTTAAGAAGGTCACTGCTATTTACTTTGCCATTTGGTGGAGGAAAAAGATATACGCTATTTATTTCTCTCCCTGCTTGTGCTTTCCCGCTCATAATACCGCCACATGTCAAGACTCTGTATGTCTTTGTAATAACTAGCCTCCACAAAGAACCCCCCATCTTTTATTTCAGGCATACATCAGGCAATCCAGTGGAGTGTGGGCCTTGTAATTACTACCTCTTACTTATTGGTTATCATATATCAGGCACAAAGCTATAAACATCCCACGGAGAACAATGGGAGAGCCTTGCCACAGCCTGACATGACATTACTATCCTGTCTGAGATTGTTATGGGTGTAATAAGAGACACCTCACACTTAAAGCAATACATCTGGACTAGTGTACTGCCTTTGACAGGGAGCATAATGGCAAATTGCTGAGGCTTGGATCATGTA